TGCTACCAGGTAATTTTTTTCAACCCCCCTTTTGCAGGTGGGGCAAGGTGTTGGAGTGGTGGTGGGAGTGTTTGATGTATGTGTGTCAGTAGTGGGATCGTATGTGTGTGTGAGAGTGGCAGGTGTGTCTGAGGGAGTGACGGGAGCGATGGATGGAGTGACGAGAGTGATGGGTGGCGTGGCTGATGGAGTGATGGATGGCGTGGCTGAGGTAGTGACGGAAGTGCTGGATGGCCTGGCATCAACAGATGGGAGCACTCTCACCACCTAAGGCAATACAGCATATTTAATACTCATTAGCACACCACAAAAAAATGCAAGTACCTTAGAGGATAAATTATCATTGTATTAATGTTAAAATTACCTGGGTTGTGTCCACAGCCCCCCTGGACAGAGGGAAGATGCCTGCCTTCCGGAACCCAGCCTTTATGTTTAGTGCAGTGACAGCAGTGGGGTAGACTGCTTTTAGCAGGGAAGAAAACTGCTTTTTCCCCACCACCAGATCCCCTCGCACTAGACCCATCCGGGACGCCATGGTGGAAAAACCAGCCTTAAGGGGGTTAAACACCGCAATGTCTAGGGGCTGTAGAATGTGTGTGGTGTGGGCAGGGAGGCAGAGGATCTCAATCTTATTTTCCCTACAGTACAGTATTACGTCTCTTGACACATGCGTCTCGTGTTGATCCATAATAAGAATGATTGGCCTTTCCTCCGGAGCATACTGCACAAAATGCCTGAGCCATTTGAGAAACAGCTCAGAGTCCATGTACCCCTTTTCTTGGATGCCATAGAGAGTGTTGGGGGGCCCATCCAGCCTGTATGCGTTGCTTGGGAGGCAGCCGGGGTAGATGATGAAGGGAGGGATGCTGTCCCCGGCTGCACTCACGCAGCAGTGCACTGTGATGTGCTCCCTGGTGGTCTGCTGCTGCTGGTACACATGCTTCCTCCCAGTCTGGCACAGCACCTTCTCCCTGGACCTTGGCTTGTCCCCAAAGCCAGTTTCGTCACAGTTGAAGACAAGATGGGGTTTGTCCTCTAAACTGTGGCGAACATATAAGGCCTCGTATAATTTGAAGAACCCTTCAATGGCCTCTGGAGTAGCTCCATGGACTCTTGCCCTGTCCAGGGAGTCGGCTGTGCGGGAGGTGAGTTCTGGATGGCGGGCCTCAAATCTGGACCACCAGACGTCACTTGGCCCCTTCTCCAGATTGACAGTGGTACTGTCCCCTCTGCCACTCTCTTTAATAATGCCAATAGCCAGCACTTTCACCACAGATCTTGTGACTGGGAAGCCGTGGTCTGCCATCCAGAAAATAAATGAGATGAGAGCATCTTCTTCTGCAGTTGTCAGAGCCGAATTAGGATGAGGGTTCAGACTGTATTTTTTTTTTTGTAGTCCTGCAGGGTGGTGTATGGGATGGCATACTTTTTAGAGGTCTGCCTCAAACTAGCTCCTGCTATCACTTCCTGAACTGCCTTTTCGAGCACTACTAAAGTATACTGCTTTTTTCTGCCTGACATTCTGATTTTCTTTTCTTATTTTCCTTTGAAATAAAACTGTTTGTTAAAACTGTGAATAAAAATAATTTCTAAACAATCATTTGATGTATGACATTTTATTAAATAACATTAACGTGTGAAGATCCTATCATTGTTTTAACAGTATCATAAACATTCGATTTTATGGAAAGTTGGCTATGAAATAACATCACAATCAATTCAGTTAACGTTATAGTAATACAACAGTTAACAGTAACATGTAAGTTATAACCTTATATTAAATATTGTTGATTTATTAAAGAATGACCATTTGAAATGTTAAAATATTAACGTTATATTTATATTTTAACATTTAAAATAGTCACTTTAATAAATCCACATATATCTATATATATATATATACGTATATATATATATATACGTATATATATATATATATATATATATAATTGTTGATTTATTAAAGAATGACTATTTTAAATGTTAAAATATTATAAATATAATAATAATAATTGCCCGCAGTCTGTGTTGACAGACGTGCTGCGTCTCTGCTGCCTGTCTCAGTGCGAGAGTTGCGCCAAGTGGCCATTGTCCGGAATTTACGTTTAAAAATTCCCATTTAAAAGCAGTTATTCAACCAAAGGTAACATATTTCATGATTTGTGATAGCTTAATAAACAATTCATGAGGATTATATTACTGTGAGAAACATTAATCCATTAGAAATATACATTTTTACCGCTGTAATTGTCTCCCCACCTAAAGCTAATATCTGGGCTGCAGCTTGCCTACCCTCCATTAGCAGGCGCAGTGGGCGCACCTAGCAAACTTACTGAAATCTCTCTGGAACAAACGGCGGGTGATTCTCTTTCTTGGTCAGGGATGAAAGAGGGATAAATGAGGTACACACACATATATAGTTTATTTATAACCTGGAAGTATTTATTCAGCAATCGGCGGGAAAAGGTCATCTGTACGGAACATCGTTGCTGTACGGAACATGGTTAGTCTACGTTAAGTACTGTACTGTATAAATATATATATATATATGTGTGTGTGTGTGTGTAATATATTATCAATCCGGCATTTTGATCAAAATACAGAAAAAAACAGTAATATTGTGAAATATTATTACAATTTGAAATAATGGTTTTCTATTTAAATATACTTAAAACATAATTTATTCCTGTAAACAAAGCTGAATTTTCAGCATCATTAATCCTTAATGATCCATAAAGTCTTCAGTGTCACATGATCCTTCAGAAATCATTCTTATATGATTTGATGCTCAACAAACATTTATGATTATTATCAATGTTGAAAACCTGTTGAGCTGCATAATATTTCTTATAATCTGTGATACTTTTTCAGGATTCATTGATGGATATAAAGTTGAAAAGAACAGCATTTATTCAAAATAGAAAACGTTTCTAACAATATAAATCTTTACTATCACTTTGTATCAATTTAACAGTTACACTTTTTATCAATTTAAGGATAAATTAAATTGATAAAAAGTTTTAAATTTTGTTAGAAAATATTTCTATTTTAAATAAATGCTGTTCTTTTTAACTTTGTTCTTTTTAATCAATGAATCCTGACAAAAAAAATAGATATCATTAGAAAAAGTAACATTAAAAATAGTAATGTTTCCAAATTTCTGACCAGTACACTATATATGTGTGTGTGTGTGTGTGTGTGTGTGTGTGTGTGTGTGTGTGTGTGTGTGTGTGTGTGTGTGTGTGTGTGTGTGTGTGTGTGTGTGTGTGTGTGCTTACAGTTTGGTCTTTCTACAGTATTTTTCAAAATATATTCACATTTAATTTTACGTTCACAGAAATCCCACCTCTCCTTCTGGCTACGAAGCACTTACTCCAAGAGGTTAGAAGAATTGTTTACATAATGTAAAGCACAGTTATGCCTTAATTTATTTTACAATGCTCCACATTTTCTTGCCTTTTAAAACTTTTTAAGACCTTTAGAGTTGCTCATTAGTAATATTTCTGCCTTCTTATTTCAGCCCATGAAATCAATTGCAGATGTCCCTGACGTAAGATTTAAATCTAATTAATTAATTTGTTTGTCATTATCATTATTGTTGTTGTTGTTTTTGGTGCAGTTTACAATAGCTTGTGGAATCTGTTGCAGATGTTCATGATGTACATTTTACACATTTTCATATCTATTAACATATGATATATATATATATATATATTTTTTTTTAAAACATATGTACTTGTACATTGTACTCAGGGCCGTGATCACGAACGAACGGGGTGGGGGATTGAGAGGGGTGCTAATACTAACTTGCACTGCCCGACACCACCCCACCTCACGCTACGCTTGGGACGGTCCTGATTGTACTTGTACACTGAATCTGAACAAGAAACAGTCTGCTATGTAAATGTTTTTCTGATTTACAGTGTTGACTTGTTTCTAATACATGAATTTCTCTTTTACAGATTTCAAAGACTCCATCTCATGTTCCCCTCTCACATGCTCCTAAAGTAAGTATTAGCTACTTTTTATGTAATGTCTGTGCCACATGCTATTATGTCACATACTAAGCATAACTATTGAAATAATGACATTTCTAATCGATTTTTTAAACATTTATAATAAACCATGAAATTAAAATAATTATAAAGAAATTACAACAGAACAAGTTGTACTTCATACCACGGCTACATGCAAACTACTATACTGTATATTAAATCTCGGCATTTTGTGGTATAATTATCCTGCTAGAAGTGCCAGTTACATAGATCATTAGATAAACGTATATTGTAAACAATTGTCCAGTACTATTGCTAACATATCCATTTACCATATTCATTTTAGCCTGTGCAATCAAATGCAGATGTCCTTGATGTAAGTTATGCATTTTAACTATTGTTTTTATCTTATTTTTTACATTTCAAATATACTTGTCAAGTCAGGAACATTAATCATAGCATCGTTATTTGAACATGACTGTGGTAGATAAACAATAGTTCACCTAAAATTGATATATCTCATCATTTACTCACCTTTGTGTTTTCTCATGTTTGTGTGACTTATTTTCCTCAGCATAACAGCAAAATATGTTCTACATCCAATGCTTCTCTGTCTGCTAGTAAAGTAAGTACTTTGTTTTTGCCTTGCCAAAATACATGGTGCAGTTACGAGTAATTGCTTTGTTAATTCTTAATAAAGTGTGTAAAGGTTTGTAGTTAAGCACTTCCTTCTTTTCTTTATAGTTTACCAGCAACAGTCTGTCTGTAATAACATTGTTGACTTTCATTTTGGTTTTATTTCAATTTTATTTTTTTAGTGTTCCAGTGATGCTAATTATGTAAGTACTTTTTGCTGAGGATTTAGGTGTGTACATAAAGATTTGTTAAGCATTTCTGCAATGGGTGAAATGGCTGAATAAAAACTTAAAAAGAGATTTACAATGTACATTATTTTCAAATTAAATCTTTTAAAACTTGTTTATGTGATCACAACCACAGGTGGAGTTAGCACATGGCACGGGCATAACAATCCTACAGCATCAATGGACTTCTGCTCTGCAGGCCCAAACAGCCACTTCAATGGTCCGTGTTCTTTTAATGGCCGCCTTCCCACTAGAGGTTCTGATCCAGAGCAATTTGAAAGGTAGACCGTTTCAAAGATATTAATCTGAGAAGTTTAAAAAAGGCATCTACATCTAACTTGCCCATAAAAATATCTTTCAAATTCAGCATACCTGTAGTTATTTTTCTTTACTTCCACTGTTGAGGTGAACAAAAATATTTGGAGATCTAAAACTAGTCAGAAGACAATTGTGCATGCCCTCTGTATCCTATTCAAATGTTCATGTATCATGTATTGTCTTTTGTAGGGGGAAAGAGTAAAACTGACGGTAGTACAGAGAGAAGAAGTGCCCTTGACAAGGAAACCATGGGAGCCATATTTGGTAAATCAAGACTTGCAGTGCGTCCAAAATCACATACTGTTTGAGTAGATACATTTGTATTTGAATTTACATCGCAACCATTAAAAAAGTATGTTCTATATGAATGAATTTCGGACATTACTAAATCAACCATGTTGTTGCTGTCACGTGACTTACCAGTGTAATTTACGTAGCTTCACTGCCAGTCATAAATCCCCTCCCGTAGCCTCATGGGATAGTAAAGTGTCCATCGTATGCACACTTCAGAATCTCTGCATAAGTAGTAGGTCATGAGGATACTTTTTGCCTACTATTTTAAAAATACTATGAATTCGGACATACTTCTCTGTTGGCGTATTGTTTTTCATATACTATATAGTAGAGAAGTATTTGATTTCGGACGCAGAGTTGGTGAAAGGAAAATTTACTAGAAAATTTCAGTTAAAGGGTTAGTTCGCCCAAAAATTGTAATCATTTCTGTAAGACTTTCGTTCATCTTCGAAACAGAAATGAATATCTTTTTGATATAAAATCTGAGATATTTCTGTCCCTCCTTTGACAGCTGCGCAACTACCACTATGACGCTTCAAAAAGTTCCTAAAGAAATCGTAAAACTAATCCATATGAATTGAGCGGATGTCAGTAGTTTTATTTAATGCATCTGTGTGGCAAAAAATGGAATTAAAAAAATTCAAGTGTTACATTTATACAATATAAATAAAAACCAAGAAAACAGAAAAAAAGTTTTCTGAAACAAAAATCCAAAAGTGAAGTGAGCCACTGCCTATGTTAATGACGGCCGGGTGTCCACTGGCACTGGCGCGCTTCACGCGGAGCAGAGCGAGCACTTTCAATTCATTCATATGGAAGTTGAGCTTAAGTTGAGCTTCTTTAACTTCCATATAAATGAATTGAAAGTGCTCGCTCTGCTCCGCGTGAAGCGCGCCAGTGCCAGTGGACACCCGGCCGTCATTAACATAGGCAGTGGCAAAATACGCAGCAATGGAGGGACAGAAATCTCTCAAATGTTATTAAAATATCTTCAGTTGTGTTTAGAAGATGAACGAGAGTCTCAACAGGGTTAGAAGTAATGAGTGTGAGTAGTTATTGACAGAATTTTCATTTTTGGGTGCATGAACTAAATATATATCTGTGATTTTTGTCTCTTACAGTGGCAGTCAAGAAGAGATTTCCCAATGTATCCAGAGGAGCTTTGGGTATTGCAGTGAATTCCAAGCTGGGGGAACTGAGACTGCTTGAAAAAAAAAAAAGCTAATTTATTCAGATGTGTGATATGTTCACATTTTGGACAGCAAATAAAGATTTTATTCAAATGTTACATTGTGAATGTATTTTCTTGGACTGAAATATATGCAGGGCAAAATATATGTTTTTAAAAAATACAAGGTATATTAAAAAAATGTATTTGTAGGAAATATATTTCGTCCCCTTGGAATTATAAGGTTCTATCTGACATTTTTGTCAAAATTGAGTTATTCACATATTCTTATTCTGTGACAACTTATTTACATTATGTGATGTGTTTTTTTAAATTGTGTCCATTGTGGGACTTTTTATTGAAAAAACAAAAAGGTTCTATCTACAAAATCGAACTCTAACTTGGCTCTATAAGGTTCTATCTGCGTGAGCCAATCAGCACTTCGAATGCACAGAAGAGGACCAATCAGAATCAACTTTATATGTCATGTCACAGGCTTTTTCCTTGAAGACAAAAAGAAACCCCATAAAGGCATAATGCTATACATTTACAGTAAATTAAATATTCACTAAATTGTGTAGTGTTATGAAGTGGCTTCAATTTGGCCATTTTCTTTATAGTGTATTGGTTATTATTATTAATTATCAATGAGGTTATTATTAATAACTATTATTATTATAGTTATTATTATCTGAATTATACAAATATGCAGTGGGTAAATTGAATATTTTAAAAAAACATTTAACATGCAAGTGTGTGTGCGCGAGTGTGTGAAAATGTGTGTGTGTGCGCGAGTGTGTGAAAGTGTGTGTGTGACTGTGTGTGCGAGTGTGTGAAAGTGTGTGTGTGTGTGTGTGTGTGTGTGTGTGTGTGTGTGTGTGTGTGTGTGTGTGTGAAAGTGTGTTGGTGTGTGTGTGTGTGTGTGTGACTGTGTGTGACTGTGTGTGTGTGAGTGAGAGAGAGTGTGTGTGTGTGTGTGTGATTAAAAAATGAGTCTGACATTTTTTGTGATCATAATAGTCAGTGAATAATTTTTCAATGATTATTAAACTTTATGAATTAATTTGCTGAAGCATGTCGATTTTCTTGTAGTTTTTAAAGTCTTGAAATGTCTTAATTTTTACAATTTTAAGCCTTAAAGGTCCAATAGTTAACAATTTCATTGATGGGGTCTTAATTACAACAATAAACGTTAGCATGTTATTTCAGCCATACTGATGTCTAGAGAGAAAGCCACTTCACCTGGCCCACTTTAGCTGGAATAAAGTCCTGCTCAGATGTATTACAGTAGCTGCTTTCTGTCTAAACAAAAGAAAGATTAAAGTAACAATTTCTGCAATAATGTGTTTAATTACCCACCAAATTGGTAACGAAAATTAAGATTCTGCACTGGACAAAATATTTAGACCTACCTTGCTTAATTTGAAATGTCCTAAATACATGGAAGTGCTAAAAAATATGAAATAAATGTCATAGAAAGGATAAAATTTTACTTTCTAACACATGTTGAGACATTGTTACAACATTAATTTTATATTTAATGTTCAAATAATGTTTTGGCAGATAGAACCTTATAATTCTAAGCGAAAAGTGTTTTTTTTAGAATTAGAAGGTTCTATCTGCGTTTGACCCATTCCAAAAAAAAACATTTACAAATTTGAGAGGATTTTGATATTGTATATTTAGAATACATTTAGGGTCCCTGTTATTTTCATGTTTGAAAGAAACTTGTTCCCCATATAAATTTTCCTATATGTAATGCAAAAACTTTGAAGCTCAATATCTCAAAACTGCTCAGAACGCAGATAGAACCTTATAATTCCAAGGGGACGATTTATGTAAATATATTCTGAAATATATTTTAGCAAATATATTTTTTGGCCATTTTTTGTATATTTTGAAATATATTTTAAAATATATTTTTTTCCCGTATGGGCTACAACGGTGGATGCGAGAGGTGCGCGCAGTGTTCCATTGAAAACCACAGGCCATGAAAAGAGCCACTTAACTGTGGTGTTGGCTGCGAAAGCAGACGGGAAGGCAGGGGATGTGGACAAGGAGTACACCGCTGGAGGAAATATGGGTACCTGGGTTGCCTGGGTACTTCAAGCGTGGGAAAAGCTGGATACGGAGCGGCTGAAAAATTCCTTTAAGGTCTGCTTGCGTGTGTGTGTGTGTGTGTGTGTGTGAGAGAGAGAGAGAGAGAGAGAGAGAGAGAGAGAGAGAGAGAGAGAGAGAGAGAGAGAGAGAGAGAGAGAGAGAGAGAGAGAGAGAGAGAGAGAGTAGGAGGGGTTTTCTGAGATAACTCGAGCCTATAAAATACTGAGCCCATCATGGAGAAAGTCTCTTATCCGAAACTGAAGAACAGAGGACGATAGGCTATTACCTACCATGGGCACAATGACTACGCTGTATCACACGTTCCTGCTCTTTACAGGTGAGGCTGCTTACATCTCATTTAACCATTCCTTCTCACGCTGCTTTCTCCTTATATAATATACATTTAGTCATTTCGCTTTTAAAGAAGTGAGATTAGGGTGGCACTGGACACCTGTAGTGTGTGTGTTTCACACAGCGCGTAGATCCCGGGAAATTGCCAGAACACCTTCTGTGTGAACGCAAACACCACCCGGGGGTGATGCCGCTTGATGCCGGGTTGGGGACCTAGTAACATTGCCGGGATCAGTCCCGGGACGCATAATCAATGCCGTGTCGTAATGATGAAAGCAGGCTAGTGAAACGGTACGTAATGCGCTAGTTTATGATCGAATCAGAGAAAAAAAAATGCACAAGCGTGGTTTCTCGAGAGAGGAAGCGTATGGGATTAGATTTCGGTCACAATTCTGCGCGTGCAAGATCACATTTTGAGCGCGTAAAAGGGCATTTCGCACGCGCGTGAACTGGGTTTTGCAGAGAAATGTTCGTCTCGCAGATAAGAAAATATTTCGAGCGAACGAAAATCAATTTTGCATTTAAAATAAGTATTTGGATGTGCGCAGACGTTCTCTTTCGCATGTGCAAAGTTTCACTTTCTTGCTCCTCTCATACAGCCATAAGCGCTCTCGAAGCGCAGACGGCTCGCGTGCTCGGATTGGCTGGATTGAAAACCAATCACAAGACTCCCTGCATCACCGACTGTGGACGAGGAAAAATACATGGTGGAAGATGTTTATGTTTAATTTGTTTAATGGCTTGAACCAGGCACGGCGTTATGGGTGGGCCTGACGGGCCTAGGCCCACCCACTTTTCAACAGGCCCACCCAAAACTTTTCTTCAATTTTTTTTGTCAAGAATTATAAAAAATCGCCAATTAAGCTCATAATTTGTGCTAAAATAGTCTAAATGTTTAGTTTAACAAAACAATTTTAAGCTGGTTATTTCTTGATGTTTCTTCGCAAGTTCAGCAGACGGTGTTCGGGTTTTCTTCCGATCAGAGGATGTGAGCGGAGAGCGCATTTCTGAATATTCCGCTCTGTTCGCTCATTCTGCAGGCTCGCGCGCTCAACCCAGAATGGCCTGCTGGTTCGAACTTCGAAGATATGTGGAATAAGGCCTACTTAAATAGGGCAGGCTATAGCCTAGTATGGAAGCTTGTTTCCGCCATAGAATAAAACATTTTAAAAGATTGGCTAATTGCGACTTTATTTCACACAATGTGCACACTATCCATCCTAAAATAATATATAAGAAAATACAGTATATTTTTTTAGTAAGATAGTTCTTTTTCCAGAACATCTATGCTGTTATTGTTTTTGTTTACTTGAACTTTGAAGTGTTCAAGCCAGGCACGGCGCCAGGATTTCAGGTTTGGATGGGCCAGACCAATTGTGGGTGGGCCTTAAATTAAAAACGTTAAAACGTTATCCAATCACTGTTTAACCTAATAAAAGTTACTGACTAATATACTGCTATATTATCTGTACGCAGGGCCGGCTATAGCCTACATAATATAGATTTTAATAGCTTGATGCTCTTTAAATATTTTGTTGCATTGTTAAAAAGTTTCGGTGCATATGGACGGAACTATCCGCGATCGCTCTCCTTGGTTCTGACCAAAGAAGAGCGCTTTGGAATCTCCATTACGCATTTACCTGGGCTGCGTTTCCCGATAAAAGAAAAAACGATGCTCTTTATAAAATAAGCACTTCAGAAATAGTTGAAATTGCATTTATTAGGACTCATGGGATATTATAAAAAATAATCTAAACTATAATAGCCTATATTTAGACTGTAAAAGAGGTCAGGAATGTAATATTTCCCCAAAACATAGTTTAGTTCTGCTCCTATAACATGAGGCCGAATATTTCACAATTCTTAATTGTTTTAAGTTTTCAACATGCTACATTACAGATCAACAACACTGCCCGACAGTTTCAATCAATAGCCTATACTCGGGAACAGAACTTGTTCATTAACAACGTCATCTGTCCATTTATTTATTTTCGATTTCATTAACAACAGACTTACTTATTATACAGAGAAGATGTATTAAAATGTAACCTATACAATATCACAATATCAACAAAGTGATCTGCATTGCAGAAAAACAACAACAGCAAAAAACATTTAAGAAGCCAAAAAATAATCAGGCTATAAAATAACAACTGAGTAACAACTAAGTAAAAGACACTCATATTTATGCGCGTCTGTTAGCGCATAAATATAAGTGTATTTTACTTAGTTGTTAGGCTACTCAGTTGTTATTTTTTAGCCTGATTATTTTTTGGCTTCTGAAATGTTTTTTGCAGGTTAGCTATAAAGTCAGAATTGCGTGATATAAAGTCGCAATTGTAGCCTATGTTATTAAGTCAAAATTGCGTGATATAGGCTAAAAGTGCGAGAAATATAGCTTGAAATTCTGGCTTTTTTCACATAATTGCATGTTTATCTCGCAATTCTGACTTTATAATAGGCCTACGTAATTGGGAGATATAAAGGCAGAATTGCAAGATATAAAGTGCGTGTTACAAAGTCAGAATTGTGAGATATAAAGTAAACTATGGGTAAAAGAGAGAAGCAATTGCGACTTTATTTCACGCA